TGTACATTATTGATTCATTGTTTTGGATTCCAATTTGTTCGTATATTTGACATAATTCTAAAAATTCTGTTGAAGATCTTTCTTTCCCAATAGTTAGATAGAGGTTTGAATTTGTCTTTAATATGAATTTCCGTTGCTTCTTGAGCTGAATGCCAAAAAAGCTTGATGTTTAACTTATAAAAGAAAAATATTGAAGGTTTCCGTCTCTTCTAACTTGATATAAATGTGGAATTTTGTTTTGAAGGGAAATATTCTGATAATTTGATGACTAAAGTTTGATGCAGTGATGCCAGGTCTGGTGAAATTTCACCAGATCTGGTTATTTTATGAAAAATCTGGTGATTGGTCAAAAACTTTTTGAAAAATGGCAATTTCTGGTGATTTTGAAATTTCATAAATTTTAAATATTTTTAACAATGGCATACACTTTATAAACATCCCTCGTAATGTATTAAAATTTTACTTCATTATACAAATTTCATTTGTTTGACAGAAAACCAAATACCCATAAGTGGTGTGTGAGGAGGTCCTTTAATTTTTATATAAATTTGTATTTGTTCTTTTGATATACCTATTTATATATGTTTCCCTTTCTATATTTCAATTTCTGTTCATTCCAGGCTCTTGTTGCTATTGGCCGGTTATTTTTCAAGTTGGCAACATGTATTTTGTTTGGCCAGTGGCGTTGCTTATGGATTTCAGTCAAACCAATCATATTTTCAAAATTTTGACTTTTCCAATTTATTTAGCGGTTTTAAATTAATCGAAAAAAATTCTAACATCACTTTCAAAATGGCGAATTCAAAAAGCTAAAAAATCACAATTTTCGTTCTGGAATTTTTTTTAAAATCTTTACAAGGTTAGGAATAATGGCCAATATCTTCGAAGAAATTTGAACAAATCAAAACAAATTATATATGGTTGGAAAGAGCATCAAATTCTCTATAAATCAGTGCTAGATTGAGTTTAATAACCTGAATATTTTCAGAGCAATTCAGCTTCAAAGTTGGATTTTAGTTAAAATTTAGTCGAAAACTTCAAACTCGATTTTCTCAAAAACCGTAAATACCAGCGACTCCAACTAACTACCATTTCAAAGCTCTCATCAAGGGCTACAATTCTAAAAAAATTGATCCAAAATCTTTGACGGGTTTCGAGAAAATTGAATTTGAAAATTTTGAAATTTAAATCCAAAGGGGTTTAAACCTTTGAAAAAATCGAAATTTTTATTTTTCAGATTTTTTGAATTTTGACTTTTCCAATCGATAGAGCGGATCTAAATTAGTCAAAAAAAAACTCTAACTTCACTTCCAAATCTCGATTTCAAAAGGGAAAAAAATCAAAAAGAAAATCTTAATTTTCAGATCTAAGATTTTTTAAAAATTCTGACAAGGTTAGGAGCAATTGCCAATATTTCCATTAAATTTTGAGCAAATCAAATTAAGTTATATATGGTTGGAAAGAGCATCAAATTCTCTATAAATCAGTGCTAGATTGAGTTTGATAACGTGAATACTTTTAGAGCAATTGAGCCTCAAAGTTGGATTTTAGGTAAAATATAGTCAAAAACTTCAAACTCGATTTTCTCAAAAATAGTAAATGCCAGCGACTTCAACTAAGTACCATTTTAAAGCTCTTATTAAGGGCTACAATCCTAAAAAAAATGGATCCAAAATCTTTGACGAGTTCCGAAAAAATTGAGTTTGAAAATTTTGAAATTAAAATCCAAAGGGGTTACACCCTTTGAAAAAATCGAAATTTTTATTTTTCAGATTTTTTGAATTTTGACTTTTCCAATCGATAGAGCGAATCTAAATTAGTCGAAAAAAACTCTAACTTCATTTCCAAATCTCGATTTCAAAAGAGAAAAAAAAATCAAAAAGAAAATCTCAATTTTCAGGTTTAAATTTTTTTTAAATCCTAACAAAGTTAGGAGCAATTGCCAATACTTCCATTAAATTTTGAGTAAATCAAAATAAATTATATATGGTTGGAAAGAGCATCAAATTCTCTATAAATCAGTGCTAAATTGAGTTTGATAACGTGAATACTTTTAGAGCAATTGAGCCTCAAAGTTGAATTTTAGTTAAAATTTAGTCAAAATCTTCAAACTCGATTTTTTCAAAAACCGTAAATGTCAGCGACTTCAACTAAGTACCATTCCAAAGCTCTCATTAAGGGCTACAATCCTAAAAAAAATGGACCTAAAATCTTCCACGGGTTTCGAGAAAATTGAATTTGAAAATTTTGAAATTAAAATCCAAAGGGGGTTAGACCCTTTGAAAAAATCGAAATTTTTATTTTTCAGATTTTTTGAATTTTGACTTTTCCAATCGATAGAGCGAATCTAAATTAGTCGAAAAAAACTCTGACTTCATTTCCAAATCTCGATTTCAAAAAAGAAAAAAAATCAAAAAGAAAATCTCAATTTTCAGGTTTAAATTTTTTTAAATCCTAACAAAGTTAGGAGCAATTGCCAATATTTCCTTTGAAGTTTGAGCAAATCAAAACAAATTATACATTGTTGGAAAGAGCAATACATTTTCTGTAAAGCAATGCAAGATTGACCTCCATAGCTCAGATACTTTCCGAGCAATTACACCTCAAATTTGAATTTTAGTCGAAAAAGTATCAAAGACTTCAAACTAAATTCTTTCGAAAACCGTAAATGCCAACGACTTCAACCGAGTACCATTTTAAAGCCCTCACCAAGGGCTACAATCTCAAAAAAAATTGATCCAAAATCTTTGACAGGTTTCGAGAAAATTGAGTTTGAACATTTTGAAAAAAAAATTCAAAGGGTTTACCAGTGATCATCGCCTGTAGTATACGCGATAAATAGGTCGCGGGTGACGTCATGAAAATAGAATTCTACTTGTCATGATCCCAATCTAGGATTGCTTCAAGGTTCACTCATGGCGTTTCCGATTGGTAGATCTAGTGCGGAACTAGTGCATTTTTTTCTATTTCTGTCTTTTTCTTCTACAGGTCGATTAAAAGGATGCAAATACACTCAGTGCGCACTGAATCTACCAATCGGAAACGCCATTAGTTTTTGATAAGTAATAATCTTATCCCTTGTCATAAATGATATTTGACATTTTGCCCAACAGTGTTGCCGATGTTTATATAATTACTGTTATGAAAAATTTGAAATTTGCAAGGCCTACTTGGGCTTTTTTTTGTTTAAATTCGAGCCTCAATGATTGACACAATATTTGTTATGAGTTGTAGTTGGCAACACTGTTTGACAAGGGACAAAGTAGGCATTGCAAAATTTTAAAATTTAAATATGGCACCCTGTAATACCGACATTGCAATACATACATGTTTCCAAAGCCTACTTGGTTTGATATAAGCCCGTAAGGCGAGAATTTTCCTGAAAAATCAATTTTCAAGACTTCTGGTGATTTTTCATTCCAATTTCTGGTGAATTTAATTTTTTTGACCTGGCAACAGTGGTTTGATGGTATATATCATTTTTCTCTATCTACTACATCGTAGCTTTCAATTGCTCCTGGTAAATTGTAGGCAACCACCTGTAAGTGGTATAGAAATATTATCAATATTCAACTTTATAGTTTTTTTTTAGGACATGCTGTATTATACAGGGTGATGAAAAAAAAACCAATGCAAACTAAGCCAATTTTGTACAGTATAATGTCGGGTTTTCAATGTCTTATTGTTCCATTCCATAAATCAACCATTGCATCAACTTATGGGGTAGGTACAAATTCCACATTTCAACAAAAATAATACAAGGTTCGCGATTATATAACTGTTTAGCATATTATACAAAACAGTACTTGTTTGCGGAGAAATGGTTATATTGTCTAAACACAATATTTTATTCATAAGTCAAAAGAAAAACCGTGTTAATTATCGCCATAGTACGCCAATTAGTAACTGGAGCAACAAAAAATAACGAGTCTAACAATAATAGTAATTACTTTTGTTCGTTTAATGTTTTTTCATTTAATTTATAACGTAATTATCGGTCTTATACAATTCCGGGTCGGTTGTTCCAGTAGGTATCTAATACCTATATCTGATTTTGTGCAGTATTGTTTGTTTGAGTTTTTTAAGAAAATCATTTGTCTGTATAATCATAATTGACCTAAAGGCATCAAGTTAAATGAGCGTACCGCTAAATTACTGCTAGAGATTTCACATTGAAAACTAGTATAGGTACCAGTAGAGCTTCAGAAACTGTTTTTTGATAAATACTTTCGATAACTGAATAAGTTTCAAATAGTGTGTAACAAGTTTGAATATAGAACAATGTAGGTATTATTAGACAGACAAATCAGTAAATAGAATTAGGTTCTTTGAAACTTGGAAACCTCTCAACGATTAAAATACAAAAGAGCTACAAATTTCATCATAATATGGCCATCCAACAATCCAGATCTAAACCCATATTATTGTACCTATACAGCATCAAATTATTGAATTATTTGTTGTTGTACGATCAAAATGAAAAGCACATTCACCTCGAGCGCGACCAAAAAAAAAAAAGGTACCAACCAACCAAAAAAATGACTTTCACTGTACGTACTGACCGAGTACCGCCGGTCACTTTCGTTTTCGGTCGTACTAATTACGATTCGTATCGGACATTCGATTATTGTTATTAATTATTTTGTTGGGTAATAAGGCTATTATTGGATTGAATGAAAGGCAGGTGTTGGTTCTAGGGTTTGTTTAGAATAAATAAAGTACAAATTTGTGAAATTAGATTTGTAGCAACAAAATAGCGTCACGGATTGTAAGTTTTTCTTATTTTGTTGGAGATATTATTGAAGGTCAGTGATCTACTTGCACTGATTCTTCAAGGCTTTCGATTCTTTTTTTGTTTTCATTAATTTTTTCTTTCTACCTAATTATCACGGTAACAAGTTGACAGAGACAGATAACCACCGTACCTAATTATTTATAGTTGCCTGTATGATACCTGAAACATATATTATAATTTATTTGATGATTGTTTTTTGTTCCAGATGAGCCCGATAGAAAACGTAGTGCCCACTCATGTCGATGTAAGCACCGAAACTGTGCAGGTTCAGCTGCGAAACAAACAAGATCGATCCAGGGACCTTTTTGGTGTTCAATTAGAAGTAAGTTGTGATTTTTCTTTTACTTTTTTGAAGCAGGTTGTCGTGAAGTAAATATTGTAGAGAGCGTTTTGTAAATGCAGTAGAAATATCGATGAAGAGAAGTTCAATAGGAAATGGAACTTGGGAAGTTGTTGATGTGATTCCAATGAAAGAATTTATGTAAAGATCTAGGGAATTATCTTAAACAAAGCATAATTTTAGATTATATTTTTATTTAGTAGATAGTTTTTCCATCGTTTCGAAGTTCTACTAGTCATATTTCCGACAGGGTTGTCCAGTTTCGTATTTTTTGCAAGTTTCTGATAATCGTTCATTCTGCTTATTTTTTGTTTACTCCAGTATTTTCTGTCAAGAAATTAACAAAACGTGTGCAGAGAAGCTTGAACTTCTTTATTCACAAGTAAAGAATTAGAACTAACTGACTAAAAATACTAGAAAAATCGACACTCCACTATATGACACACATCAAAAATACCAGCAAGGTATCTTATATCGTCATAGGTGCTAATGCAACGCTCTGAAGAAGCTTCTGGGATACTAATTTCAACATTTTCCTCGTCAGTGTTGTTAGATGTCAAATTTAAAATTATCAGGATTTGAGAACAAAATTATCAGAAAAAGTTTGTGGCAAATTTTTTGACTTTTTATCTCTATTTTCATTTTTCGGGTTCTAGCTGGGATTCTGGCAATTGTAGCTCTCAATAAGAGCTTCAAAAAAGGTTATTCAAGACTTCGAGCTCAAGGGCTTCGTTTTCAAGATAATCGGCTTTGCAGCTTTTGCAAAATTTGAGACAAAGTTTTAACTTTGAGCCTCAATATCTTCAAAAGTATTTAAGATATATAATTGAATCTTATTTTATCTTGAAGATTATTTAATTTTGATTCAGAATATATAATTTTACATCATATTTGTTATAATAATAACCGAGTAATCAGCAATTTTGTAAAATAATATCAGATTATTGAAATTTTTTGAGCCCAAAAATTGCTAATATCGTTTTTATTTTTTAACAAGGCTTTTAAATCCAAAAAGGAAAGTTGCGAAAATGCTTTTCTAATAATTTTTACCTCTTCTTTCGATTGGTGAAGTCAAAAATTCGAAAAACTGAAAATTTAAGAATTCAAACTTTTCCAAAGGGGTATGCATGGAAATTTGATTTCCAAATATTTCAAAGAGCCATATTTTGGAAACCAGTGAATTTATTGGCATGAATCTTTTGACCAATTGTAGCTCTTAATAAGGGCTACAAAAAAGCTTATTTAAAACTCCAAGCCCAAGGGCTTCGTTTTCAAGATAATCCGCCTGGAAGCTTTTGCAGAATTTGAGGTAAAGTTTCAACTTTGAGCCTCAATATCTTGACAAGTATCTAAGATATAGAATTGAATCTTACTTTATCTTGAATATAATTTAATTCTGATTCAGAATATATAATTTTACATTATATTTGTTATAATAATAACCGAGTAATCAGCAATTTTGTGAAAGAATGTCAGATTAATGAAATTTTTTGAGCCCAAAAATTGCAAATATCGTTTTTATTTTTTTACAAGCCTTTAAACCTCAAAAAGTTAAGTTGCGAAAATGCTTTTCTACTATTTTTAACCTCTTCTTTCGATTGGCGAAGTCAACAATTGCAAAATCTATAAAATTTGAAAATTCGAATTTTTCCAAAGGGAAATTTGTGCATTTGAGGTAAAGTTTCAACTTTGAGCCTCAATATCTTCAGAAGTATTTAAGATATAGAATTGAGTCTTATTTTATCTTGGAGATAATTTAATTTTGATTCAGAATATATAATTTTACATTTATTTGTTACAATAATAACCGAGTAATAAGCAACTTTGTAAAAGAATGTCAGATTATTGAACTTTTTTGAGCCCAAAAATTGCAAAAATCGTTTTTATTTTTTTACAAGGCTTTAAAACTCTAAAAACAAAGTTGCAAAAATGCTTTTTCCCTAATTTTGATCTCCTCTTTTGATTGGTAAAGTCATACATTGCAAAATTTAAAAATTTTAAAAATTCGAATTTTTCCATGGGAATTTGATTTTCAAATATTTCAAAGGGCCATATTTTGAAAACCAGTAAAGTTATTGGCATGAAACTTTGGCTCAATCTGGGACTGGTGTTTAGTGCTCGCACCAGTACGTCAAAACACTCAAAACCAACAACCATCTGCAATTTTTTAATAAATTTTTAATTTTTAACTAGAAATTTGAAAAATGTATATTAAAATTGTAGTTTCAATAAATTATGGTAGATTAGCTTGTCATTATCGATTATTGAATTGTAGACAAAATTATGGTAGAATTCGATAATTATCGGATCATTGGCACCACTGTGCCTCGTTGTCTTACCAATGTTTTTATTTGAAAATTTCTAAACTGCAACATCTCAATAACCAAAAGCGGTACTAAAACTACCTCTCAGTAAAAGCTTCAAAATGGTATCTATAGCTGAAATCTCTAGCTTTTACGGTTTTTGGAAAAATCAAGTTTGGAGCTTCATAAGCTACGAAAACCAATTTTGTACGGTTCTTCCAATAATTCCAATCCAATAATGTATAGTAGACTGCTTGCTTTGTTGATGGATATTTGTTTGATGGCCAGTGAAATTAAGTGGATTTTGTAGGCAACAATCTTCAGTGTATTTGTGACGAGCTTATGATTGAAAAGCACTCTAGGAAAAAAAAAAAAAAACCCTTGGTCTGGTAAAAGAACAATCAAGATAGGTATTATATTTTCCTCTTTCCATTTCCGTCTTAATTCTCGTATATTCCATATTGCCGGGTCTTGGATTTCATTTTTGTTTCAAATTTCTTTAAATAAAGTAAGACAAGAGCCTGAAATAAAGAAGTCACTTATGCCTAATCCTATTTATCAACCAATTTTCTGTTCTATTTTTTCCTTCTCAATTATTTTTGTCTTTTGCTCATTGCTCTAAGTTCTACGTTTAACAGTTGAATTTTTGTTTTTCTAAATTTTTTCGAAATAAATAGAATTCACTTTTTCTTCGAATTTCCTCTTACTATTTCTGCTATTTCTCATTTTCTTTCGTCCCAATTTCTATTTGTTCCCGGGTCTGGAAGTTTTGTATCCTACAATTCCTCTGAATATAGAAAATTCAAAAGCATAGAATAGAGGAAATTATTAGGTAACTTTTATTCTCACTTTTCAACCAGTTTCATCGTAAATTTTCCTCAATTTCTTTTTTCATAATATGCTCAATTTTTATGTAATTTTCTGTCATTGTTTCCGTCTCAATCTTTGCCTATTCCCAGCCAATTTTTTTAAATAAAGAGAGTTCAGGAGCCTGGAATGGAAAAAATAGGTATGTATGTTTCCATTTCTAAGTTCAAATTTCCTCTCTCATTTTCTCCGATTCATTGTTTGTGTATTCTCGACTTTTGACTTTTGTTTCAAACGTTTCTCAATAAAGGGAATTCAATTCAAGGCAAGTCTGGAATAGAGAAGTTATTTATAATCCTATTTGTCAACCGATTTCTTCTCAATTTTTCTCTAATAATTTTCTCTGCCTATTTCTCATTTTCTTGTTTCATTGTTTTCGTCTCAATTATTGTCCATTTCTTCATGTTTCACATTTCATTCTTAAACTTCCATTTTACCGATGAATTTCCTCTCATTATTCCTAATTTTTTCCGTCCTAATTTCTATTTGTTTCTTTGCTCTTGAATTTTTATTTCCTACAAATTTTCTAAGGGCCGGTTTACTCACCTTCTGATAAACTGTCAGATATTCAATCTGTCGGGTAAAAACGCAATCTGTTTTCCTATTGGTGGGCCAGTTATCCGCTTTTTTGTCTATTCCCAGTTCTTTGAAGTTTCCGTTTTCATCAAATTTCTCTATAAAGAGAATTTAGAATTCTCTTATCGACCAATTACTTCTCAATTTTCTCCTTAATTTCCTGTTCACACTTTTCAATTTTTATAAAATTTTCTTTCTCATATTTTTGTCTATTTCCGACTATTGAATTTTGGTTTTCTTCAAATTTCTCCAAATAAAGAGACTTCAAGAGCCTGGAATAGAGGAAATATGTCTTATAATCCTACTTCTCAAACAACTTCTCACTTAATCCTCAATTTCCGCTTTTTATTTCTCAACATTTATTAAATTTTCTCCCTGATTTTTTCCATCTCACGTGCCAGGAATATGACAAATTATGATTTTTTGATGCAGATACATAGATGCAACCGAGAATGAACAATATTTTTCAAAATTTCAGTCAGATTATCAAATAAATAAATAAATAAAAATAGAGATTTTCAGCTGTCATGAAACTCTTTCATCGCGATTATTTTTTTACACATTCGAAGGTGCGTGGGCGTAGCTTGTCCCGCTACCTCACTTGCTGACTCGAGTATAGTTATATACATCACAAATACAAGCTTATATTAAATTTTCAGCTTTCATGAAACTCTTGCACTTTTTTGGCGCTGGCTCTCCGACTATTATAACTATCCTTTATTTTTCTTATACCGTGCTAAAGGACGAAAATAGTTACTATAGGTAGTGAGTTGTGTAATGATCGGCATCGTCGCATTTCCCGGAAAGTGACGTCACTTTCCGAGGCCGCGTTTACGCAGCAGTATAAAAATTGAAAAAGTATAGAGATGTTATCAGAATGACTAACACAATAATTTAAAAATGTTTTTGAAAAATGTGAAAGTGGTCATATTTCTCCAAATAAAGGAAATTCAAGAGTCTGGAATAATAAAATACCCAAATATATTCGTATTTATTGATCAATTTCTCTCCAATTTTTCCTTCAAATTCCTCTTTCCATTTCTCATATTTTTTTTTTCTCTCATTTTATCCCACTCAATTTCTGTCTATTTCCAGCTCTTAACTTTTTGTTTCCTTGAAATTAGCAACCAGTTTCTTCTCAATTTTTCCTCAATATATTCTCTTTCATTTCCCGGTTTTTATTAAATTTTCTCTTCCAATTTTTGCCTTCTCAATTTCTGACTATTCATGGCTCTT